TGTGAGGAGCGAAAAAATATAAATATATTTATATATTTTTTATATAATTAAATATACTGCTGAAGATCTTAAACAGGAATAAGGTTCACAGGATACTCCAAGATGACAATAGCAATCAATGGAAGGACAGGATTCTTAGTAAAAAATCCTTATAGGAGCAGGCACACACTACAACCCCAAATCAGATCTTACTCATAATAACCTAGGAGCTGTCTGCCACCAAGCATCCACAGGTAGATTATCAGTGAGTGAGGTAAAAGATCCTTCTTCAGATCAGGACTTCAGGAAAATTCCCTTCAGCAAATCAATTAGCAATCTCCAAACCCTCAACCCAGCTCCCTTGAGAAGAAAGAACAGTCTGGAAATGCCTCCCGAAATTTATAATCTCCCCAGTCACCTTCTGGACGCCTTCTTCTAGGGATTGGCTGGGGCATGACAAACCTTCATACTAGATATTTGACTCTCCCTGCCCTGTATTCTGGAAGGTTCTCCCAGAAGCAGGTGAGAGAAATCAAACACCAAGCTAGGAAACCCTAACCAGACAAAAACAATAGATCACTGGCTAAAGTGAAGCCAAAAACTAAATTTAACCTAGCAGCCTAACTAGAGGAGGGTGCTACAATTCAAAAAAGATTGAGCTGGAGGCTGTAATACTCAGCTTTTTATAAATACTGTGCTTGACTAAGTTCCTTACTCTATATTACAGATGTACAGTAAATGAGTTCCAATCCAGTTAGTATGCAGCAGTTAATTTGTTTTATAACTAAGGCAAAGGATCCAAGAAACAAATTTGCAGCAAAAAAGTAGAGAATTGATTACTTGCTGCTTTTTTAATATGCACCTAAATCACATTTTTTTTGGCGTGAACTAGGAAATTAGAAGAAATATTTGACTATTTGGAAATCACTACTGTTTCCTTTATTATTATATTTGAGAATCTGCAACACCATCATTTACAGAGTGTACCTTATGTTCTGTAAAGTTATAAGTAATAGAAACACATAGGGAAGTTAAAAAGGGTAAACTCCAGTCTAACTGCCAAATATATGCATATATGGGAACTGTCTGACCTTCAAAAAATGTGTATTTTGGTCCAGCCAGTCTTGTGATCTAGACACCCCTTCTCTTGGCGTAGATAGATCAGTGAACTCAATTTTCTCCAAGGGTTAATAATTTACCCTGGTCACCAGCTATCCCCAGCCTGCTGATTGGACATTGAGGAATAGTAGCACACTGAAAAAGTAATCTCTTTACTCTACACTGCTATAAACATGTTCAGGAATACAAATTGATAACTTTGGGCAATGCAGCAGGGGCTGATTGGATCACATTCATGCTTCACCCTTTCTGGTTCTTGCTGAGACAGGACAGACTCAGGTGCCTGTGGCAGTTTTATGTAAAAATGTATTAAACATTCTTTTAATTCAAATGAATACATAATTAGGTTGTTTTAATATTTACCTTGATTTCAGTATCAGAGTTCAGTTCAGTAACAGAACATATACAATATTTACATAAAGATCTACTTATTAGACCTAAAAAGAGTGCCAATTTTGGAGTCTATGTGCTACTTTGTGACTATAGCTGACCATACATGGCTCAACTTTTGGCAGATAACTGCAGAATTGGCTGAAATTTGAAGAGCCCTATGGGCACTACCCAACTTAACCAAAGTCAATTTAAAAATCAATAAATGTACCATGGCCAAACTGGATATAGAAAATTGACTGAACAATGACAGCATCCAATCAGTTGCAATCACTATTTTGATATAGTGGCTGTCAGAATACAATAGTTGGAAAGGCAGATTACTCCATCCACACTGCTTTGCATGGATATGTAGCCCCTCTCTAGTTAGCCAGGGGAAGCTAGATAGGTTTTTAGTTAAAGGCTGGATAGCAACTGGGATGAGTTAGCCTGAGATGAGTCAGCCAGGTAACTTTAGGTCAGGGCTGAGGGCTCTGCAGGTCAGTTCCCTGAGATCTTTTCCTGGTCTAGAAACTTGACAAGTTTCTAGAAGGCAGTGGGTGGGGGTAAGTAGGGGCTGATCTGCATGTATGAGAGATCTTGACCAATCCCCAAGCAGGAGACTTGGCATGCGGTCAGAACAGCCCTCACATATGATTGAGCCTGATCAGCAGGAAGTGGTCAGTCAGTGTTGGGTGGAATATGGAGTGAGAGGCTGGAATGTGAAGCCTGGGAGGGGGCCAGGGAAGGGGCCTACCTACAGACATGTGCTTGAAAAGGGGACCTCCACTGTACCACCATCTACCAAGAGGGACAGCCTGAGCAGCAGGGAATGAGCCAGCCCAGCAGAAGGCCTGAAAGCAGCCACCAACCCATAAAGCTATCAGGAAGGACAATGTGAGTAACCTTACACCCCCTTGGCCGGATAAGGGGAGAGGACAGTGAGGTGAAGAACCCAACAAGCTCCTCATGCTGGACTGTTTGACTTTGGCAGCTTTTGCATCCCCTGGCCCAGGAAATACCCTCATTGCAGTTGGGTGAAGAGGAGGTTTCGCCTGGGGTCTAAGGAGGTACACCAGAGAGCTGGAATGCTCTCAGAGAAGAGACAGAATTTTTGTTCTTGTCCATAGACTTGTACATAGTTGTTAAGGAGATTGTCCTCACAGTTCTCAGTCCCTTGGACATCCCATGCATCCCTCAACCCCATCCAAGTTCAATACCCCTTAATAAAAATACAAAAACAAGTCTAAGGACTGGTTACTGTCTTCAGTGTGCAAGTGTGGAGGAAGAAAATATGAGTTGCCTAGCTGTGCAGAACTATAGGGGGACCCAAAACGCTGCAACTCCTAAGGGGGTAGTGCTACAGATAGATGAGTCTGTTCATATTTATCTTGCTCAGCATGTGGCGCCAAACTTGACATAAAAGAGTCGTATAGCAATAGTGACATGTACTGACATCACCACCCAATCGGTGTCAGAAGACAGGGCTGACTGTTAGACGTGGCATAATAAAATATAGTATATAGTTCAAACATTAAACATACAAACATTACCTTTATATTCTGGAAGCAAAATGATTGCATGTGGTAATGTTTTATGCTTGTGCCTATGGAGAGCTGTAGATGTCATGTAAGAATAGGCATGGGAAAATCCTCCTGGTTTGGCTGTAAATGGTGAGAAGCACATGTAGGAACCTTTACTTGGCCCCAATAAGAGGCATTTCAAGGTCATTTTTGGCCAAACAGAAATGTGATTCCAGTCTAAGATACTCATGGATGGGAAGATGTGTCACTGAGAGTGATAGGTAGCAAGTACACTAAGTCATGTTTTGTGAAGGGGATCAAATACTTAATTCCCTCATGAACATGCAAATCAGTGCATAATTTGTTAGAGATGCATTTCTTTTGAATTTTTTGTTGCTATTCTGTCTCTCAGTGTTACAATGCACCTACCGTTTGATTTTTCTTTGTGAGTGGGCAAACATTCAAAATTAGCAGGGGATCAATTACTTATTTCCTTCACTGTAAATTTAAAAAAAAAAAATTTCCAAGCCAATTTAAGCAGCTCAATGAGTAATATCATGTTTCAGTGAAATTGTGCTGCAAAAAGAATTGCTCCATTCTCAGGTTGTAAGCGATTTACCGATTACTGTTCCCACTGCCCACTTATGGACCCATTTCATTTTTGTCCCTTGTTAAATTGATGGTAAACCCCAGTGAACATACAGCAGAAGAAATGTACCATATTTTGCGTAAAAAAATCTTTACCAAGTATTTCTGATGTACTTGTTTGTTACGGCTCAACTGTTATCCCCAGGGATACTCAAACTGCATGCATCACTATCGGACAGAGATTGGCCTCACTGGAAGGATTCTGGGATCCATATCTGATATGTCATGCAATCTCTTGCTTACTTGACCATATAAATAAACACTACATGGTAAATCTACATCTGTTACATAAAAAAATTAAACATACTTAAAATATCACACAGATCTGTCATAAGCAATAAACCAGAATACCAGCTTGAGCACATCAGTGTTTAATTATCCATGCGTTCTGTTACACTATGCTGTCCATATAAACAAGATGAATGGGGCTTTTCTTCAGTTTTATACAGTGATCAGCAACTGGCTGCTCCATATGAAACTTACATTGTATATACTCTTTCACAATTTGTTCAGCCCACTGGAGCAATAGAAATAGTTTTTACATGATTGGTGATATTTTTTAGTTTCTATTATACAGCATAGTGTGTATCTGCACAAACCTGTTTGCTGGTAGCTTTACTCTATGCCTGGGTGATTTAGATTTAGAAATTTAGCATGGCAATTGATTTGGATATGATAAAGCTACATTACCTGCCATTTTCAATGCCTTTCCGTCATAATTTTTGGTGTATTAAATAAAATGCGCATATTTGGAAACTCTAACATTAACGGTAAATAATGAATAAATATAAAGTAGATACAGACCTTAACCACTTGCCTGCAGGGCACTTATACCCCCTTCCTGCCCAGGCCAGTTTTTAGCTTTCAGCGCTGTCGCACTTTGAATGACAATTGCGCAGTTATGCAACTCTGTACCCATTTGAAATTTTTATCATTTTTTTTGTGACAGATAGAGCTTTCCTTTGGTGGTATTCAATCACCTCTGGGTTTTTGATTTTTTGCTAAACAAACCAAAAACAACTGAAAATTTTGAAAAAAATAAAGTTTTTTTCTTAGTTTTTGTTATAAAATTTTGTAAATAAGTGATTTTTCTCCTTCACTAATGTGCACTAATGAGGCTGCAGTGATGGGCACTGATAGGCTGCACTGATGGGCACCGATAGGTGGCACTGATGGGCACTGGTAGGTGGCACTGATGGGCATTGACAGGCATCACTGATGGGCACTGAAAGACAGCACTCATATATGGCACTGATAGGTGGCACTGACTGGCACTGATAGGCGGCACTGACTGGCACTGATAGGCGGCACTGACTAGCACTGTTAGGTGGCACTGACTGGCGCTGTTAGGCGGCACTGACTGGCACTGATAGGCAGCACTGATGGGCACTGACAGGCAGCATTGACTGGCACTGATGGGCAACACTGACTGGCACTGATGGGCGGCACTGACTGGCACTGAAAGGCGGCACTGATTGGCAGCACTGACAGGTGGCACTGACTGGCATTGATAGGTGGCACTGACTGGCACTGATAGGTGACACTGAAAGGCAGCTCAGATGGGCACTGATATGTGACATTGATGTGCACTGGTAGGCACTGATATGTGGCATTGATGAGGCACTGATGGGTACTGGCAGGTGGCATTGATGGGCAATGACAACTGGCATTGATGGACACTGACAGATGGCACTGCTGGGGCTACACTGATCATCAGGGCACACTGATCATCAGTGCCCTGATGATCAGCGTAGATGTCCCCTCCGAGGAATGCCGATTACCAGCTCTCCTCTCGAGCTGTCAGCGTGACAGCTCGTAAGGAGGGAATATGCCGATAACCGGCATCTCCCTATTTAGACACAGCTGATCACTTGACTGAGCTGACATTTTCAGCTCTTTCCATTGATCGGTGATCTGCTGTGTCCAAGGGACACAGTGCACCACCGATCGCCGCGCTACGCGCTTCCGGAGCCGCGCATGCGCGGTTAGAGCGGGAGGACGTCATACGACGTCCTCCCAGAATGAGAGAACCACGCTGCGCCCATCATTACCTTATATGGTAGGTGGGAGGCGCTTAAATATATGATATTTAGTATGCTAAAGCACTAAGCAATCGTAAGCAATTGCCATAAATTCTTGTTTTAATTAAATATGTTTAAATTTATTCATCCTTTGTTGCATCCTAATTTCCTGATGTCTTTGCAACCACATCCAGTCTACATGCATGCCAGGGTTGTCAGCCTCCCACAACATTGGCACTCCTCAAGCCTAAGGCCTCATGTACACATGAATTCACCTACAGTATGTTATATGTTGCTGCTTATCAGTCTATAGATGTGGTGGCTGCAATGGTTTTCTATTTTTCAAGTTTGTCCTTTTTTTAACCTAGTGATCCTGAAAATAACATGCAATAATTCCTGTCCAATGTTGGTTAAACCTACTTTTTGTACTGTATCTATGGAGGGAGCCATGATTGTTCTACTAAGCTGCTCACCCTGTTTGGAATGCAAACTTGTCTTTCTCTCTTACTCTCCACTACATTAGGAAGGGGGAGTTGTAGTTTAGAAAAGATAACTTGGAAGTAATTTAACATTGTAATTTCACTTAAATAAGCAGGAAGTGACAAGGATAATGCATTTCTCACAAGATCAACATGTATTTTCTGTACTTGCTGTCCTTAGTCTAACATTGATTCGCCACTAAGTCCTACTGCCAAAACATACCTGCACTTCAAACTAATTTCAAACAGATTTCCACATGGTACTCAATACATTCAGGATTTCCTAAATTTTGCTCCCCAATGTGCTGTGGAAGGTTCACGGAGCCTGGGACCTATATCTCATGACATTGCCCGATTGCAGGGGCTTTTTTTCTCAGAGAATATACACAGGAACTCCACCCTTCAGGGTCATTTCTTGTCTCCCCCCCACCCCCACCTCTGAGCAATGTCCCTTGGTTCCACCCCCTACCCACCTCCAAGTACCGCCCTTTTTAGAGAACACAGATCCAAGAACCTTTTTTTGTGGTGCTAAGTAATTTGTATGCATTTTGTTAATGATAACAAGAAAAGCAGTAAAACAATCCACCGCAGCCAGCAACAATAGATTCTCCCATTTGCAATAGTTCCCCAGCAGCAGCAACAGAAGACCCCTCCCTCAACAGTAGATCCCTTCCAGTGACAATTGACCCCCTTGCAGCAATAGACCCCCAGTTTTTTTAATTTTTGGTCTTTTTTTTGCTTGTTTAGCAGAAAGTAAAAAAAAACCTAGTGGTGATTAAATACCACCAAAAGAAAGCTCTATCTCTCTCAAAAAATTAACAAATTTTGTTTGGGTACAGTGTTGCATGACCGCGCAATTGTCATTCAAATTGCAACAGCCCGGGGAAGAAGGGGGTGAACGTGCCCAGTAGGCAAGTGGTTAAAAAAAACAGCACACTTTACACTTGGCTCCCAATACTGCCAATCACAGCCAGTGAGCCAATGAAGAGAAAACAGGGGGCGGGGCCAGCCATGCTCTGTATGTGAATGGATTGAGTCTGCTTGGGTGCCCACATAGCAAGCTGCTTTCTATGGAGGCACTCGGCAGAAGGGGGGGGCAGGAAGTCCACAGGGGACCTGAGAAGAGGAGGATCGGGGCTGCTCTGTGGAAATCCCATTTCAGTCTTTACAGATGACACCAAGCTGTGCAGTGGAATAACGTCCTTACAGGATGTCTCCAACTTACAAGCCGACCTCAATGCACTGTTTATATAGCCAACTATGTGCAAATGAGGTGTAAGGTTGATAAATGTAAAGTTATGCACTTGGTGCTAAGAATATGCATGCATCATACATACTAGGGGGAGTACAACTGGGGGAATCAATGGTGGGGAAGGATCTGGGAGTTCTGGTAGATCACAAGCTTAATAATGGCATGCAATGCCAAGCTGCGGCTTCTAAAGTGAGCAAAATCCTCTCTTGTATTAAAAGAGGTATAGACTCCAGAGAGAGAGATATAATTTTACCCCTGTACAAATCATTAGTAAGACATCATCTGGAATATGCAGTTCAATTTTGGGCACCAATTCACAAAAAGAACATTGGGGAACTGGAGGAAGTACATAGAAGGGCAACCAAACTGATAAGAGGTATGGAGGAGCTCAGCTATGAGGAAAGATTAGAGGAACTGAATGTATTCTCTCTTGAGAAGAGGAGATTAAGGGGGGATATGATCAACATGTATAAATACATCAGTGGTTCATATAGTGAACTCAGTGTAGAGCTATTCACCCTGAGGTCATCACAGAGGACAAGGGGGCGAAGAAATGTAATTTCCAAATACAGAAAGGTTTCTTCACAGTAAGAGTTGTGAAAATATGGAATAGACTCCCTCAAGAGTTGGTTCTGGCCAGCTCAGTGGATTGCTTTAAAAAAGGCCTGGATTCTTTCTTAGATACACAAAATATAACTGGTTACTAACATTTATAGGTAAAGTTGTTCCAGGGAATATCTGATTGCCTCTCGGATCAGGAAGGAATTTTTTCCCCTGCAGGAGCAAATTGGATCATGCTTTGCTGGGTTTTTTGCCTTCCTCTGGATCAACTGTGGGTATAAGATTATAACTTTTTTTTATGGTTGAACTGGATTGACTTTTGTCTTTTTTCAGCCAGACTAACTATGTAACTAAGTATGACATGTTTGTTGCTTTTAAAAATGCCTTTAATATCACCTTAATTGACTCAAGGATGGCATCACTGAATTCTCTGACAAATGATTTTTCAACATTTTTTATGAACATTTAAACAAGTATCTATCTTAAGTCTTGGAACTTGCTGCAGTGAATCCAGCCTCACTACATTCAATTCCATCACAGCTACTGTTCCTGCTAAGGTCACCTGTGCAGGTACCTGACATCTATGTTTACTTTGATATTATTTCTGCTTCCTGACTGCATTGTGAAAGCAAAAATAACTGTAATGCTAATACTACTGAACCTGTGTATAGGAATAACCTTGCACAGGAGGTCATGCAGTGTTACGTATACATTGCTCCATCCTGGCATTATGCCCTTGTTTCCGGTAAAGCATCCCGTGAATCACTAAATCCTAAGTAAGAAGTCTTAAAAGGAAAACACGTGCTCGCTACAACCTGAGCTGCTCCATGCACAGGTCTCCGAGCTGGCAGTCACATGGTCAGCGATTATGACCTTTGGGTTGTTTTGTGTGCTCAAAACAATAGGCATCTGTTATGTAAATTGTATAAGCCTGAGGACCTAATCTATGGTGCTGTGAATGATATATATTTCCAATGATCAGATCTCTCTATGATGTCTATTACCTAGGAATGGCCATTACAGCTTTTGCTAATTAACTTTGAAAACCCAATTTAGGATGGTCCAAAGTGCATGACAGCACCACCCAAACCAGCAATTATCACTTTAGAATGAATTTCCTTCTTCTAATGGATATCCTTTGTAAAGTACCCAGAACTAATATGTCTAAAAATGTCATTAGGTTTTCTTTTGTTATGTACAGGTTGCTTTTTTTATGAGAAGACTACATACTTATGGCACCACAGACATTAGAAGAACTTATTTATAGGGGCAAATGGAGTGATGATTTAAAGTGCAACTCATTTTTTTTTTGTTTGTTTGTTTTAGACAGAATACAGATGAATTTCACCCTCAGATTTTATTACTGTGAGAGTACCCAGGAGATTTCGTCACTTCCTGCCCAAGAGACAAATTAGGAAGTGGAAAGAACTAGACATGTGCGATTCGTTTCACTTAGATTTGTTATTTGGACAAAAAAATTTGTTTTTGGAGATTCAGATGTAAACGAATCTCTAAATGGGCATAAAAATTAATGGCAACTAATCCGAATCAAGTTATAACAAAAAAAAATGTATTAGTTTCATTTGGATTCAAATTCAAAAGGATTCAATATTTCATTCACTGGTTGTTGCGGACGGCTGCCACTTACCTAACAACTATGATTCATCTGCTGTCAGCGGAATTATCTACTGACAGCAGTGTCTAAACAAAAAAGTGCAGCATTACATTTTTTTTTTAAAGTGTGGGAGTCCTCCCCCAACCCATACCCTTCAGGTCTGGTATAGATCTTAAGGGGAACTCCATGACAAAATTTAAAATAGAGGGTGTGGAGTCTCCTTCAAAATCGATACCAGACCCTTAGGTCTGGTATGGGTTTTAAGGAGAACCCCATGCCAACATTTTTTGATCTCCCCCCCCCCCCCAAAATCCATACACCCTCCCCTCCTGAACCATACCAGGCCACATACCCCTACCCATTCACCAGAAAAGTAAATAAAAACACTAACACAGTTTTAGACAAGTCCACATTGCAATAAGTCACCTTCTGCACCCCACAACCACCGGACAATGATTGTGGGGAAGAGGTCCTTGTCCTCATCAACATGGGGACAATGTGCTTTGGGGGGAGCTCCCCTCCCCAAAGCACTCCCTCATGTTGAGAGCATGTGGCCTGGTATGGTTTGGGGGTGCTCAGATTTTGGGGGAGGGACTCCAAGCCATTTTTTTTTTAATTTTGGCATGGGGTTCCCCTTGAAATCCATACCAGACCTAGAGGTCTAGTATGAATTTTGGGGGGGACCCTATGCCATTTTTTAACATTTTGGCAAGGGGCTCCCCTTTAAAATCCATACCAGACCTGAAGGGCCTGATTTTTTTATTTTTTTTAATGCCACACTTGTTTGTTTACATTCTGCTGTCAGTGGGGAATCCTGCTGACAGCATAAGAGTCATGGTTGTTAATAACATGGAGGCCACCTGCTCCTTAACAATCAGCTGTTATTCACAATGAATTCAGATCCATCTGATA